TGTTGCATTAGCTAAATATCATCTTGCATATTTTTCAGGTTGTACAGGTTGAAAGGTTACTCTGTTCCTAGGAATTTGATGGGTCATAAGGACAGGTTGCTTCCTTGTAAGAATGTCTCTTCAGGTTGTGAATTCACACAAGTGAGTTTGTGTCTGTGCTATAGTCCCATTCATAACATCTTAGAGTAGTATAGCATTTTTACAAGCCACCACACCCACTCTTCTAATATATCACTCCTACATGCATGCTCCAGAGCACTTGGCTATTCTCCTCGGTTTCCAGTCTAATGCAAAACAAAAATAGGCAAGAGAAATAGCGAGAAGTTTGGGCTATGTGAATTCTCAGATAATCATTTGAAGAATGATAGTCACGAGTGAGTAACCTGTATTACTTCTTTGTATATGTGAATCACACAAAAGGGTGATTAGCTATTTGGCTTATCAGAAGTGCAAGATATCACGTCAATGCTGAAAGGAGGCACCAGTTTATAAAAATCTACATCTGCTCTGACCAAGATATCCAGCCCATAATGGTAAATGAAAGCCAAAGCCAAAGTCACTACCACTTTTTAGGGGCAGCATAACAAAAGACAGAGTCTTGTAAACTCTCAAAAGTCAGTAGTGTTATTATTTACATACTAATTAAATGAACTCTTGTAACATCTAAAGGACACCCCTAATGCTAGAATTCAGAGATGGATTGTGAAAACACATAAACATCATTTTTATATTCAATGAAAGCATTTTATTCTGTGAAATGTGAGACACATTAATGAAGACTTTATGCACAATCCCTTGATGAATTTGGTTAACAACAAACTGCATGGCATTGGAGTCCAAATACATTCTACATAGAATCATAGAATCAAAGAGTTGGAAGAGACCTCATGGGCCATCCAGTCCAACCCCCTGCCAAGAAGCAGGAATATTGCATTCAAATCACCCCTGACAGATGGCCATCCAGCCTCTGTTTAAAAGCTTCCAAAGAAGGCGCCTCCACCACACTCTGGGGCAGAGAGTTCCACTGCTGAACGGCTCTCACAGTCAGGAAGTTCTTCCTCATGTTCAGATGGAATCTCCTTTCTTGTAGTTTGAAGCCATTGTTCCGTGTCCTAGTCTCCAAGGAAGCAGAAAACAAGCTTGCTAGCTCCTCCCTGTGGCTTCCTCTCACATATTTATACATGGCTATCATATCTCAGCCTTCTCTTCTTCAGGCTAAACATGCCCAGCTCCTTAAGCCGCTCCTCATAGGGCTTGTTCTCCAGACCCTTGATCATTTTAGTCGCCCTCCTCTGGACACATTCCAGCTTGTCAATATCCCTCTTCAATTGTGGTGCCCAGAATTGGACACAATATTCCAGGTGTGGTCTAACCAAAGCGGAATAGAGGGGTAGCATTACTTCCCTAGACCTAGACACTATGCTCCTATTAATGCAGGCCAAAATCCCATTGGCTTTTTTTGCCGCCAAATATCTTCTGCTGGTGACAAAAAGGTAGTATTGGTGACATCTGCAGAAGATGTCAGGAGTGACAGTGAATCTGGAGATGTGTAATGTGTCATACCCATAATCTCAATTCCTTGACTTTTTCCCAACTTGCATGGCATTGCGGCAGCCAGAGGAGTTTCTCACCGAGTCGTGTTGAGTGGCCGGTCACAAAGAGATTGGACATGTCATTAACAGATCAAATGGATTTGTGACACTAGTTTACTGGTAAGCTAGATAATATCATATAAAAAAAGTACAGATGTAAGAACAGTTGCTACTACTAAAAATATTGACATCAAAAATTAGAACAGACAATGAGGTCATGTTTCCCTTTCTGCAAATAATCTAATATATCTTCTCTGCAAACCTGTGGTCAACACAAGCCTTCAGTCTTGCCATAATAGGAACAGGCAGTCTCAAGAGAGTACAGTAACAAAGAGATCAAAATCATGGACAGCACTGACCATCCAGATGTAGTATTCAATGGATGTTCACAAATGAAAGACTGTGATGCACTAAAATCAAATGAATTGTGACTTTTAAAAACATGTTTCCAACCAGTAATACTCCCCAGAGTAGGTAGAATCAAGGTCAGGTGCATTAAGGAGATGAGTCAGCCATGAGGGCTTGGCTGACACAGAGGCTGAATGCATTGTAGTCGCGATACTAAACCAGAAGGCTGTCAAACAGATGCCTAGAACAGTAGATGCTATTAGTACCACGGGTAGATTTGAATTAAACTCTATACCAAAGAAATTCATCTTGATGACATAGCTTCCAATGTAAGCTTAAGATTCCTCAGGTAACTTTTGCAGTTTTTTCGACAGTGAAGGAATCTTCTCAAGGCTCTTGAGGCAGAACCAAAATACTTAAATCTCCTCAACAGAATCAACCAATTTAATTGCTGATTTCCAGACATATAACTTCAAGCAGAAAATATTGCTTAAAATCCTTTGCAAGTCAATGTGGGTAGAATTCAAAGCCCCACAATGGGACATGACAAGCATTCAGAATGACCACCTAATTGGAGAATTTTGGCCATATGAGATACCCATAGAAAGCATAATACACTAGATTAGAAAAAGATGAGACCTGGTGTTCACAAAAAATTAAAGGCTTAAAAAAAGGAATTAAGGCATCAGAGATTGTCCTAAATGTTGCTGGTCATACAGCAGATGTAAACATGCTGGAGCAAGTGCACAAGAAAAAGGGGACAAGAAGCCTGCCAAAAAGCAACTCAGATCAAGGGTGCTCCAGATGAGGGTACTGCACACAAATCCATATGTGTGATTCACAGAAACCCAGAAGAAGAACTGATCAATTTCTAATACTGCCCTTTAGGCCAACTGATTATTCCTTATTATTTCTTCTTCTTTACATCTATTATTTAATATTGTGCATGGAAGCTCCTTCCTTGGACGCTTTTAAACAGAGGCTGGATAGCCATCTGTCAAGGGTGCATTTCTGCTAGGAAGGGGTTGGACTAGATGGCCCATGTGGTCCCCCCAACTCTATGATTTCATTCTATGCATAAAGTTTATGGTTTTTGTCTCTGATGTTTCTCTGTGTTAAGATACCTTGACTTGATTTTTAAAAAGTTATTCAAGAAATAAAACAAACACCTTGTGGGTACTTTCCAGATCGATTCAACGTTTCTATCTGGCATACTGCTGCTACACATTAGTAATGTACTGCTAGAGCAACTCAATGAAAACAGACTCAAAGATAACATATAACCCAGCACACAATTGAGATGGAGGTACTGTTTCATGATCTGTACTTAGGCCACAAGGGGGAGCAAGAGAGAGTAGGATAGTCCATTTTATGGGGGTGGAGGGTGGGCTGAAGGAGTAACACCCACCCCTCTGTTTTCCTGTTATTCTCCCCACCCATGTCCTGTCATGGAAACAACCCTAATTTATGACATGGGGGGCCCATGTCATAACCAGCGAAACAGTACCTAGGTGAAATCACCCAGTTCATCCCAAGTTCTTGATGTCACTGAATCCTGTTTAAAATGGTGTGTTGGCTAGAATTTTCAATATTATATGGACTGTAGGCAAGGCAATAAAGTCAACGGAAAATACTGTACAGGCAATGTCCCATTTCAGAGTTGTTTTCTAAATTAACATTGTGACAGGTGTTGTAAATTCACATCAAATTAAATACACACACACAAAGCTGCAGCATACAAGTATCAAGTTAACAGAAACATGACCATAATTAAGAACATACATAACCCACTCCTCTTGAAAAAAGAACTCACCACTAAAGGACCACTGAAGGATTTAATAGGGCTCCTTTTGCTCACCAGCATTCTTAGCATGCATGCATGCATAGGAGCACAAACAGCAGGTACTACTGCAACAGAGATCTCTTCAGATTCCGTTACCTTCAGCCATTCAACCTTATTTGCAAATATACAGGATGCTCCATTTTGAAGACTGAGTATTTTCAGCAAAGCACAAATCCCTCAATCTTAATTATATCTTAAAGTCATTTAGGTCCAGGTAATTTGAAGAAACTCTACAATCATCTGAGGAAGGGCCTTCTCTCTATTCTACCTCACTCTCAAGTGCATTTGGTGAGAATGAGGCAGAAGGTCTTTTTGGCAGCTGCTTCCAGGCTTTGAGACTCCTTCCCAAGAGAAATCAAGATGGGTCCATCCCTGCTTACCTTTCACAGCCAGATGAAAATATATTTCTGCCATCAGGAATTTCGAGAATGATGAGGAGTAGTTGCTGGGGGTGATGGGGGCTTTCATTTTTTAACTGTATTACAATTGTATTTTAATTTTTATGCTTCATGACTAGAAGTGTAAAAATGTAGAAAAATGGAAAAAGAGGAGGAAAAACATTTCCCCCCATTTTTTCCAAAGCATTTTTTCCAGAAAAAAAAGGAAAGGGTGTTTATAAACAAAAAGTATCATGAACCGTTCATTAAGGTTTCCATGTTGTATAGTTTGAATATCTTGTCATAGATATATTTTTTAGAAAAATGTATTCTACACACTTTTTAATTTTTCCGGAAAAAATGGCTTTGGAAAAAAAAACTGTTTCCTCCCCAGTTTTCCAGGATTTTTACAGGCCTTTCCATCTCTGTTCATGACACAAAACATTTCATTGTTTTTTAAAATATATATATACATATTTGACTGCATTTGCTCTGTTTTTAATTTGTATGATGCCACCTTGCATCCCTACATCAGGAGAAAGGTGAAATAAAAATACTCATGGAGTGGAGGCACACTCATGGAGTGGAGAAATATTCTGGCTTCACAGCATAAACTTATATTTTTAATATATACATATTTCTCTCCTTTAAATTACTCCCTTTAGGATAGGTATAGTAGAAGTGAACATTAAGATTGTAGCAGGGTAGGCACGGTAGCAGTCAACATTAAGAGAGCATGAATCTGTCATTGAAGAAATATTTCTTAGTGTAACAATTACAGATAAAGGTTACTCACGCAAAATATAGGTCACGGACATCATCCACCTTGCTAATACTTACTTTCTTTCCCTTTCTCTTTATTTTTAAGCTGCTGCAGTTTCTGCTCTCGATGCTGTTTTTCTAACTCTTGTTCCTGCCGATGCTGTTCTAGTTTTCTCTGGTGCTCCAAGAGTTCTTGCTGATGTTTCATTGCAAGAATCTCCTGTTGTTGCTGTAGGGGCAGGAAGGAAGGGGGAATGTCAGGACAAAGTTCTTAAAATCTTTCTTTGAAGGTTTCTCTAAAATTCCTATGAAATGAAGAGAGGAAGTGGCACAACCAAAATAACTCTTTTCTGATCAAGAGTTAAGATGTTTCTTGAAGTACAATGAACAAATATTTTCACAACACAGTCCTGTACACGAACCTGGAAGTTTTTAAAACAGAAGTGTTTGCAAAACAATCAAATGGTTATTGAATTACTTGGATTAAAGGAAATTTTAACCTACTTCAGAACAATATAAATATAAGGCAAGAGTGAGATCTGGAGGCCAATTTTCTGCCCTTGGACTTAATGGCTTACTATGAAATTAAAAAAAAGATTGCTAAAACAGATGCTGATGGACATCCACTTCTGATTTTTAAAAAATCAAAGTGAATGGAGGAAATTAACCTACTGAAAGGTGACCTATTCAATTGCCACTCCCGGAAGCTTCCAGAAGAGGTAATTCATGCATACTTAAGGAACAGAAAAAGAATGGTCTAGGACAGTGCTTCTTAGATTATATGGTGTGAAACACCAGCAGAATTTTCTCATTGCCCTCATATTTCAAACACCAGGAAAATTTTTCTCATTGCATCCATATTTCTCTCCACTGATAACAACTGTTTTTTTATTTGTTTCCTGGAAATTTGTTATAGACTGGCATCCAATAGCTCATAAACTAATTGGAGTAGCATTGCTTTAGGAAATTGTGGGAGCCATTAAGGGTTGCATATGCTGCATTCTGCCTACCTCTTATCAAGAGGGGCTGATACTCTTACGTATTTGAGAACTTAATTTTAACTGTAACCTCTCATTGCTTTTATTTATTTTCTTAAATATACGTGTGTACAGTATTAAATAATGCCCCTATCACAATGAAACTTTTATTATGATCATGCAAAGGACTTTCCCAAGAGATAATGGGATTACTGAGTAGCTTGAGTCCTACTATCTTTTCTGTTGAAAAACCTAACAAGCAATACTGCTGACTTTGGAATACTCAGTTGCTGAGGCTCAATAAACATGCACTGTGAAAGGCAATACTCGTTGAGATCATACTTTACTATATTCCTCTCAGAGCATTTGCTCAATGATGGGTTGGCTGAAGGTGAAGTAAATCAAACATGAACATCTGACTATCTTGGAATAACCTTTTGAGAAATGAACACAATAAATGTTTGGAGACTGACTCAAGCAGCCATAGCAACCAATGAGTAAGGGGATAGCAGTGCTACACAATAAGCCTTGGCACCAGTCCAAGAATTCTCAAAAATGTTTTAACAACAAAACCAGATATAAAAAATAAGCTCACAGGGTGAAGGATCAGAGATTCCAGTTTTATTGGTGTTCTGACACACGGTGTACAGGATATTAATGGTACATTAAAACATGTACACACCAAACTAAATAATAGGAAGAAAATGTTCATAGATACATAAACACATAGTCATATACACATAATTTTTTTTCTTGCCAGGCAATCTAAAGTTAAACAAACTATAAATTATTTAACCTATGTCTGTTATAACCAGAGATGTTGGCTTAAATGTAACTGTTATTGCCAACTAGAGTAGACCCACTCAATTATATGCATGCTGGTTTACAATTCAGTAACTGACTTGGTGGGTCTTAGTAGCTGCAACAAGCAGTTTGATTCAGGACTCTGCTCCAAAACTGAAAGCAATCAAATCTAATTTGCATCTCTCACCTTTATATGTTCATGCAACTGCGCTTCATGTTGACGAGAGAGCTGTTCATGCTGTCTCTGGAATTCTGCTATGAGAATTTGTCTCTGGATCTGCTGTTTCTGCTTGAGGGCCAGAAGCTCCTGCTGGAGCTGCTGTTCACGTAACGTAGGCTCGGCCACCGGGATGGAGAACTGATGGTCCAGGCGGAGATCCATAGGAACTACAGGTGGAGCAACTTGCAGGGGAAGTGTTGTGGTCACATCAACTGCAACACACAAAAGAAAATGGCCAGCAGGGTAAGCAAAACTGATAGCTTGATAAGCAAGGATGCTCCCCCCATATTCAAGGAGTTTGTAGTCAGAAATTGTGGCACTTTTACAGCATGAAACACTTAAGAACTAAGGTTGATCTTTCTAAATATAAACAGAACCACATACATTTTATATTTAGCAACCTTCACATACACTCAGGACTATGAAAGCAGCCATCAAAAATTATACATCTTCCAGTTCCTCATCTCACAATGGATTACTGCACGAACAGAAAGAATGGATTCATAACAGAATGGAGCAGCAACGTCAAAAACTCTGTGATTCAAAACAACTAAACAAAACATAATAAAAAGCAGTTTTAAGTAGTACAGTTATGAAGTTTTTGTGTGTGTGTGTCAGGAGCAACTTGACACAAAACTTGCATGTCGCTTCTGCTGTGAGAGAATTGGCCGTCTGCAAGGATGTTGCCCAGGGGACACCCAGATGTTTTATCATCCTGTGAGCGGCTTCTCTCATGTCCCCACATGGGAATCTAGAGATCTAGTAGCTCACCCCGCTCCCTAGATTCGAACCACCAACCCTTCAGTCAGCAGCCCTGCTGGCACAAGGGTTTAACCCACTGCGCCACGGGGGCTCCAGAGTTGTGAAGTGTAGTTAAATCCTATGGTTTAAGGGGGTATCAAGCTACCTACATACTTTCTCAGAACCCCTATAGAAGATGCTAGAGGCTGCTCAGAGTCAACTGTAGCCTAAGATTCTAGTCTCAACTTATTCTCTCTACCAAAAAAAAATCCAAAAGGGCTGAAGTCAATGGCAAGCTGTATTCATGATGTCTTCCAGAAAACAAAACGCCTTTCAGAATCATAAATTTAACTTTACTCACATAGAACAGTCTGCAACCAAACTTTACAACAATAGTGGCTCTCATCAGTAGTAAATAAAATAAATGTGCAGTCAACTCTAAATTTTACATTAAATATTCAACTTACATTAAATATAAGCAAAATACTTCATTATATTTCTTTTCTATCTTGTTTCCCAAGTATGTCTGACAAAACTAGTTTTTTATTACATTGTAGAAGAGCTACTTCTAAGGAAAACCTGCATATTTTTCCTATTTGTTGGAAACAAAATCTACCTCATGTGGCTGTAGTACAAGACAAGTATGCCAGCTGCAAAGATCATCAACATCATTCCCATTCATTGTATTCACAGACTGGTGCGTCAAACATGACTCATACTATTTTAGTCACAAAAAAATTATCAGAAATGCCATGAGTTCCAAACAGAAGCAATGAGTGCATCTGACCCACAGTTCTCTTTGGGAAACAATAAAACCTTCTCTACTTAATGAACATGTCAACCAAACAGAAAAAGCCTGTATTGTCATGAATATTTTATCGTGAACTAGAAAATTGGTTTTAACAGCTAAGTCTTCACAACGTATTAGTATGATCAGATTCATGACGTCGACAAAAAAATACAAAGACTATATTCAGAGTTTTAATGATAAATGCCAAAGGCACAAATTAGATCTAAATTATGAATAGGATGTATTCTTGGTTCAATCTTTTCAAGCATCATAAAACACATTACACACACAATACTACAGATTTTCAAAGACTTTCTAAATTCTGTTAGAGAAGAATATGCCACTTTCTTATAAGCTATTATTTTAAATTTACACAGTTTTATATTTTTCAATTACTAGAAATCTTAAAGACATCATTATCCTCATTATTAAATATAAGGTATCTTTCATCTAAATGAATAAGAAACAATACAATTTTATTTAAAAATATTAAATACTATTGGAAAAGTGTTCAATAATATAATATTACAGAAATATAACTGGTTATAAAGAAATCAAAGGCAAAATAATCAGTAAAAATTGTAGACAAACAAATATGTCTTAGCCTGGTTCTGAGAAAGATGGTTTAATTCTCTCAGGAACCATATTTCAGAGTCATAAAACAGCAAAGAAAGACACTGCATTTGTATATACATAATGCACTTCTACTTAGAAGAAGGGACACAACACATAGGCAAGTTGGCATGATAATAGATACTCCTTTAAATAATAATCAAGATTTTGAATTAGGCTCCGAAGAACAGAAGAAGACAGAATTGTTATAATATGGCTCCTAACTGAAGTGTATTCTACTGGCTGAACTCTACACTTAATTAAGTTTCCAAATTGTCTTCAAGTGCATCCACAGATGTAACACATAATGGTAACCTAGAGGCACACATTTTATTCAGCCCAGAGGGTTACACACAGAGTTGGCTGGGTGAGATAGGGGCACACGACAACATAGCCGCTTTGAGTCTCTTTGTGAAGAGAGAAAGCAGGGTATAGCCATAAACACAACAACAACAACAATAGCTACAACATACAGATAGGTGCACATATTTTCCATATACAAACATGCTTACTCATAAGACTGCCTCACATATATACACATCTCAGTAAACCTCCCTTACTTATCTCTACCTTGGTGTCTGCGGTAGGTAAATACCTGCCATATCTATCCACTGAGACTGCATTTTTCATTCCTACATGTGATGGGAAAACCATTTTGTACAATCTTCACTAAGATTATGGTTTCTCTGTAATTTCCAGAGGCAATATTTCAATATCAGAATCACTGGACAATGGGAAAACCTTTCATTTCTCCCATCCCTGAGTAGTTTGAAGTATTATGACCAGCTACAATTAAAAAAAATCCCTAGCTCATAATCTCATGATCAAATGAGCTCTGCGAACAGCAAGTGATTGAAACATAAAAAATGAGCAAGGGCCTTGGCATGGACCCAAAGTTGTGCACCCCTCTATCAGTCTGGTCAAGGATCACTGTTGCTTGGCTATCACTAAGCTATCCCTGTTATGTCTGCAGATCTACTGAAGCTGGAAGAAGATAGCCTACACCAGGGGTGTCAAACTCATTTTCACTGAGGGCCACATCAGCCTTATGGTTGCCTTCAAAGGGTCATTGAATCCACGGACAAAGAATCCGTAGATACAGAGGGCCAACTATATTTTTTTACATAGAAGTCAGCGCTCTTTGGTTTTTACCCAGTTTTGGTCATCAGATGTTATTAAACGACAAGTCACATCACTTCTCAATCCACCATGCAGATTAGGGATAATGGGAATTGCAATCCAACAGCACTTGTGGCTTGGAGGTTGGGGAAAAACTAAAGGATATTTTAAAGTCAGGCATCATATCCTCAAACCTTGTATCTAAATTTAAATCCAACTATCCTGATTGAACGGAACTGCAACCTTCCAGATGTTGCTGCATCCAACTCCCATCAGCTCTAGTCATGATGTCTAATGATGAGGAATACAGGAGTTGTAGTCCAACACCTCATATACAGATGAAAAATTATTTAAAGCTACAACCAATGTGGTCACTGTTTCCCATTTTTGGTCAAAAATATTTAGCCACTTGTGCTCCTTCTATTTTTATGCAATGCTTTTGATACAAAATAAATAAGTAAGTAAGTCCAACACCTGGAGGGCTACATAAAATGACACATAGGGAAGAATTTGCCATGCAGGCCTTGAGTTTGACACATGTGCTCCATCCCATCTGGGTTTCTAGTGACAAAGCTGGTTAAAGGAAACCCTCAAATTGCAAGCCTGCTCTTTCAGTGTGAATTCATCTCTACATAGAGAATAAGTTGCAGTTTCCCAGATCTCATTTTTTCAAGTTAGTTTATCAGTCACAATCTGACCTATTAGCAAACTACACAATGTTAAGAAAATGTATGTAGCCTCACCTGATTGAGAGGACAAAGGGGTTTGCTATCAATCAACACTTTTCTCTCCAAACCCTTTAATAACCTCTTTTTACATGTTCACAGATAGTTACACTTCATGTTTCCAGTGGAGAGAGGAAAAGAAAAAAAAACATACAGAACCCTTCAACTAAAGTGCCACTGGGTCAAAGCTGAAATGCTACTCTCTAGGATAGGAAAGGAACTGCCATGATGTTTTGATGCTCGATCACAGGGCCTCTCAGTATATCAAGTCTATTGGTGCTGAATGCTGCTGTGATCAACAAGACACATCTTTGCCACCAACACCCCCTTAAAAAAACCATAGTTGAATCACTGTATCCAGAAGTGCGCAACTCTAGAAAATCTGGTTGCCAATTACATGCCTCTAGAATCCTCTGTGGATCTTATCAAACACACATGCACCCTACCTATCTGATGAGGCTCTGGCAACAGTCATCCATGCCACGGTCACATCTAGGCTGGACTATTGCAATGCCCTGTATGTTGGCCTTCCGATGTCTACGACCCGAAAGCTCCGTATTGTTCAGAATGCGGCAGCCAGGCTACTCACAAGAACACCCATGAAATGCCATATAACACCAGTGTTGTGGCATTTGCATTGGCTTCCAACTGATTACCGTGGTCTATATAAGATGCTAGTTCTGACCTTTAAAATTCTTTACGGCCAGGGTCCATCGTATCTTAGGGACCGTCTCTCATTCTCCCATCATCGGAGGTCGCAACGACCATCCCAACGTGACTTACTTTATATACCGGGTCCTAGAGAAGTGCACTTGGAAAGGACCAGACGCAGAGCTTTTTCTATTTCTGCCCCTGCCTTGTGGAATTCCTTGCCGCCCTATATGAGAGCCATGCGTGAGTTAGGGCCTTTTACCCTAGCACTTAAGACCTGGCTTTTTACTAGAGCTTTTGATCTATGTTAATTTTATCAATATCTGTATGTATGTATTTTTATCCTTTACAATTTTAGCTTGTAAATCGCCTAGAGCATCTTGGATGGAGGGCGATTAATAAGTAATTAAATGATGATGATTGATGATGATGATGATGATGATGATGATGATAATATACATCCCAAAGTAACCAGAGGCATTTCTAGTTTTGAAATATGACAGAGTGCAGGAGAGAGTGTACAGTACAGGGCACCCTGCAACTTATTTTAAAATGGTCAACTTTGTAATAAATG